CGGATGTCGAGGCGCGCGATTAGGTAGAAAACTCACTTTGAGCTTCTGAGTGTGACCGCATCGGCAACAGCAATACGACATGTAGTCAGGTAGCGCGGGCATAAACCTCAACTGTTCCTGCTGCGAGTACTCGTCCACGAGCTTCCGGTAGTGCACCCTGAAAATGGGCCTCGTCGTGCTCTGCGAGCCTCTGCCGAGGCGTCCCATAATCGCAAAGAATGCGGCCAGGATATTGCGCCTGCGTGCGAGCCTCCTCATGCCACGGGCGACCGTTGTACTTGCACGTTGTCCTTTCAACTCCGCCACCCTCAGCTTCCACGAAAGAGGATACCTTCTCCCCGAGCCGCCGACCGCGCGGCGTTTATTCGGATTTAACGACGGGCCGACAATTGGGCATTCGTTGGGCCGCGTCCAGGCGGAGCTGCACCGTCGCACAAATCACACCGGTCACTCGCACTCCTGGCTTCAATATTCCACACATTTCCGCTCGCACGTTCACGACACTGCGCGGCGCACTCTCCGATGCACGGGACACCGGGGGTGTGCCGGATGCGTTTGCCGCATCCGAGGATATACCCCTTGGATGATGCCAGGTGCGGGGAATCACCGAGTTCCAATCTACGTCTCGTAACAGCGCGCGGATGAGCACCACTCGAGCCCCGCACTGTTAACGCAATCGGAGACGCCGGTATCCGTTCGGTAACGGAAATACGGTGGTGTCGAAGGTGCATCCATCGCGGTGGGCTGTCGAGGGTAAAGCGCCGTTGACGCTTCCTCCCCCGCGGCCGCCGATCTCCCGTGTCTCCCCCGAGAGGGTGCGGGTCTTCTTGTTAGCGGCTGACGGCGATCGCGACGTCATGGGACCCGCGGGACCCCGGTCCTATACGCGCGACACACGGGCGCGGAGGACGCCGCGGAGCCACACTCGATGGCGAACGATGGCGCGTAGCCCCGGCTACGTGTCGTTCTGCATGCCGACCCGCGGAAACCGGTTAACGAGTGCCGAGCCGCTTCTCGCTTCTTGTACTTGTCGTCTGTCAACCGCACACGCAGCCGCAACGTCCTTTCTATATTTTCCGGTGGACTCGGCCGCCGCAGGACGACCTCCGGTTACCAACGCGCGTCGCGGTCGCACCCAGCGCAATTCCCCCCGCGACCGTGTTCTTGGAATAATCCGGAGTCGCGACGCCGAAGAGAGGAGCGGGTACGTTCGAAAGTTCCCGTCTGCTAATCCCCGCCGGTGCGCAATCTACGAAATCACACGTGGTCCCACTTCCCTCGCTTTCATTGGAAAGGTTTCCCTTAATCGTACCCTTACGAGCGATAAAACAAACGCACCGTATCCATAGAGTATTTTACGTGCCGTCCTTACAGTCTCGCGCTACTTGACCCGTTCAGCGCGTCGAGCCGGCACCGCGGAAGCGCAGACTCACGGAGGCGGCGAGCTATCCGTTAGACTATAGACCATTCGAAGAGGCACGCGGGCCCCGGTCCACGCGTGTCCTCTCCGCCGTCAGCCACCGGGTGAACCGTCCGTCCGTCCGGCCGGCCGGCGGCCACTTTTCCCGTCTTCTCCGACGCACGCTGGCCGGTCCTCGCAGGAGCTCGCGGAGCCGCAATGTCTGAATACCGCTCAACCGGCCCGTCGATGGCAATACCTCCCGGTACGTGCAGAGAGAGAGACTGAAGTCCACGAGGAACACGAAGCGAGAGCACCACCGCTCGCTCCGGCCGGCCCACACGGTTTCATCCCCACCGCGATCTGCGAGAAGCCGGAGCGGTGCGACCGACCGACCGCTTTCTTGCTTCAACCGCGGCATTGAACACGTTCAACGGCAGCTGTTGAATACCACGTGTCCCCGTTCTCCCTCTCGCATTTGCTATCCCTCGTTCTCGCTCTCTCTCTCTCTCTCTCCCCCTCCTTCCCTCTCCCTGTTTCTCTTTCACGCCCTCTTCGTTCCTCTCTCGGTCTGTCGGTCAGTCCTTCCCGCTCTGCCTCCGTCGCGCACTCCGTTCCTCTTACGATCTTTCCCGCGGCTTCTTATTCTTTTTACCCCGCCACGGCCGAGAACGCCACTCGACAGAGAACCAGCGCCGCACGGAGCGCATGAGTTTGCGATTCGCGTTCTTTGACCCGTCAGCGCGACGCGCGGCTCGATCGCGGACCACGGCTTCGGCTGCGGGGCTCGCGCCCTGTCCGCCGATGTCAAGTACACGCTTGAGGGCAAAATACCTCTTTTTTTTTCCCACCCGAAACACGTGCCGGAGTATCCCGTATCCCCTGGGTATTTCCCGCAACGAGCGTCTACACCTAGAATGTTCGCATACCTTCTTTGGAATGTCCGTACCTGCCACAGGTACCTGTGTCTACTTTACGTACATTTTAAGGCGCCCCTCAAGGTCAGTGCGAAGGAACGAATCGTGGAATCCCGAATTTGTCGGCATTTTCGCGAGACGGAATGTCAGTCAGGAATGTCATTCAGGCCAGTTGCCGAATCCAGTTGGTCGGACGACGAAAATACGGAGGGAAGTCACGCGCGGAGATGTTCCCGTTCCTTTTATTTTTCCTTTAGAAGTTCATCTCGAACTTCCACATCCTACCCCCCCCCCCCCCCGGATCATACGTTGACAAATCACCTGACAGAGAGCGTGGAAATTGCTTGGAAACTGAAAATGTGATGTCAATCGCTTCAACGAGCGCGGAAACCATCGAATAGGCGTCGCTAAGGCCCTTCATTTTCCGCCTATTCTCGCGATCCTCTCGGCCGTGCTATCGGAGTAAGCTCTTGATCCGCGGCCCTCAAGAACGATGACGTTCTTAATTCGGCGGAAGGTATTTAAAGTTTAATCCGAAGAGTGCGCCATTAGGGTTGACTGAATGTCAAGGCAGTGGCAGAGTGCAAAGTTCCAAGTGCGAAGTCTACTATTCTCAACTCGCCAAAGCTCCGCCAACTTACGGCTCTATCCTTTCTGATAGCGTCGACGGACCCCGAAGCCTCGGGCGATGTTATCTTCCAGACAACAGGGAGAGGCTTTTAGATCCTCGGGATTCGGTAGTCGTCGGGTGTATCGACGTCCGAGACGATATTTCCTCGTGTATTCGCTGGTCTCGGCACCGGGGCACGTTCCTCCCTCGGATACTTCACGCCCGGTTATGACTTTCGATAAAATGCGATGCGGTGGCGATGCCGTGTGGTAACAATAAAGCTTCGTAATCGATAAGGCAAAGCGAAAGCGAAACATGTCGCTCGCGATTGCGCGAAAAGAAATCGATCGTGTTGTCGAATTTCAGTTGATACGCGTTCAATCTTGCAAGAACGAGTGGCAATTGGTCGGGTAAACGCGTTCATTCGCGCAGAAGAAAGGATCCCCCGAGTTATAATTAAGACGAGATTCTGGTCGTGTAATTTCAATTAAAATTTTGTCCGTTAAACGTGCGGCTTGGCGCTAAATGCCGGCGGAATTGTCGAGAGCGAAAGGAGCGGTCCATCAGCTTTAAACGACGAGACAGTTCCCAGTTACCACTTGAGACGCACGCAGTTGTCCATCGGCGAGGGTCGACCTGTCACGTACAGTATTTCGGACGAAAGTCCCGGCTTAGTTTCGACGATTTATATTAGCCTGATTATTTAAGGTATTTCGAACGCCAGTAAAACACTTTGAAAATACTTGGAGCGTTCCCGTTCGTTCCACACGTGACTGACGTGCATTTTTTCGTCATCTACCCTCTAAAATTTTCAGAGTAAAATTTTCACTCCGATTATAGCGCCACTGGTCACCTCACTCTATTCGAGCGAATATTTACTCCAATAGAGCGAATTAATTCACTCTAAGGCAAAAGTGAAGAATTTCACTGTTAGTTTTAAAGTGAAGTCGAGATCATCGAAAGTACAAGATGAGAATACAGTAAAACTTATGATACAGATTGGCACAACAATAATAATCAGTTACCTCGTTTAGACCGAATAGAGCTTATCTTAGGAGGTCAGAGCACTATGTGACTTCAGAATTATTCCTCTATCTACGTTAATATATCAGTAAATCTCTAAATGGTCCCAGACATGAAGAGGACTGAATAACTCATGTCGACAGAGGGATGAATCCGTAACAATGGTGTTAAAACGACTGCGATACAGCAATATCGAACAGGAGGAACTTAATAATAATAAAGTGTGGTAAACATGACAGGGTCAAAAATTAGTCATGGGTCTCAACCTTACCGAACAACAGAAAAGGCGCAAAATTCAATCTATGTCCAAGTGAATCAGCTTCTTGTCCCAATGGAATTAAGTCAAACGATATCGAATAAATACAAAAGTACTAAAATTAAGTCAGCGAAATAAAATAAATTTAATACTGTAAAAGTAATCAAATAAATAGCAAGGAACCAGTCACGCATTTTGTGGCTCACACTGGCACTCTCGCCTTTCTACATATTTTCTTTTTCGGAGCCTTTACAACACTTTAGAATATTCTCTTTTTATGTTCTCTTATTGCTAAGATATCCAAAAAATGCAAAAAAACCCGACCTAAATGCGTTAACTGTGAAATTAAATGGCCAAAGAGTAAAGAAGTTGAGGTGGTAACGTGGGTTACCACCATGCTTCAAAGAGTTAAAATAAAACACAGTGCTCTTTTCAGAGTTGAAGAATCAGTCCAAGTAAAGAGTGAGAACAATGGCACTCTTTGAAAAACTGAAATTTTACTTTATTCGGACCGGCATTTTCATTGTTTCTTCGAAATCTCACCCCACAAGAGTGAGATTCCACCCCGAAACATTTAGAGAGTTGACACCCGCAATTGTTTCAATCGTTCGCTACCGTTCCGTGTTTTAAATAACCAAAGATCGGATCTATTTTTATAGAAGCTTTATATTCGACAAAACTAGATCACGCGTGACCTCATTTATGTGTCGCTCGGGCGACACTCCAGTCCTCGTTAGAGTCGCATCTTGCATATCGTCAAAGAAGAAATGTCAGAGAAAGTCACACTTCACTGACCTGGTCTGCAGACTCGGTGATAAAAGAATGACAGTGCTGCAGGCTGAAGTGGGCCCTGGGCTCTCGCGCCAGAAAGCTGAATTGGGCGTGCTGCGGCTCACAAGTCGCGTAAGAGATGCGTCTTAACGCGTGCGCCATTTGCACGCACTGCAACAGAAATAAAGAAAGAGTCAGTCTTCAGAACCGCTCGTAAGAACTTGATGTAAGGGGTTTTCATACACAGACTAGGATAGTAGATTTGACTTAAGGGGAGAGTGCCCTTAAAAAATTAAATTTTTTTTACAGACTCGAAGGCATAAAGGACGCAGAGCCAAGACAGGACGTTAAATGTCTAAATAATTTTAAATCAAACAAGCGAGAGCGCCTTTTAGGTCCGAGCACGATGTTGGTAGTCCAATAATTGCAATCTAAGTTGTGAATTCATATACCGTTTTCCACCTTGTCCTGCGCGCCGGTTTCTTTTCGGGCATAAACAATTTTAATTTTAAACTTTATCGCTAGTTAACAACGGATGAACAATGTGCAACTGAAAATGTTTGTTGAAAATTTTTAGTTTTATTCTCCGGTATTATTCTGTACTTACAACTTGCAATTAGTTTCGAAAGAAAGACGATAAGTCATCGCAAGAGACGTGAGATTGCGGCGCCAATTAACTAATTAATTATCAAAATGTTTAAAGCCCTCTCGTCGTGTTTGTCCAACTTTTGTCTCGGCAAGTACTGAACTTTTATAATTCCTTTTTTAATCTCTCCAGAAATAAATGGACTACGATTTAATTGTGTGATTAAAGAAATTGTAATCTTATCCAAAAGTTATGAGCCAAGAAAGTTACACAGAAACTTTAAATTTCTTCAAACTACAATTAAAATTTGGAAAGAGCTTATTCGGAATAAAGGATTGACATCAATTTTATCGGGAAAAGAATTAAAAAAAAAGATTGTGCTGGTGAGATCTGGAAAAGAACGTAAAGATATGTAGATTTGCCGTATGATTTCGCATCTGCACTCTCGCCTTCATATTCTTCTCTGTTATGAATAATGATGGAAGTAATACTTTACAAGTAATTAAAAAAGCGAGCTTATTGTCAACCCAACTGAAAATAAGCTCACTTTTTAATTTTTAATCATTACTGGCGACTATAAGTGACATTTTTCTCTTACAAGTAATATTCGTTGCTAATAATTACTTAATACCACTTCATCACTTGATAAAACTCACTTCAGAAAACTTAATAAAAAGTACTCGACAATGAAATTCTCTTAATAAGCGCTTAGTAAAACACTTGATAAAACTACAATATTTTCGATATTTGAGTCCATCAGTTTGAACAGTGCATTCAACGCAATGAAAAATAATTTGAATTGTCTCTGACTGACAATTTCCGAGATATTTTCGGGAGTGACCCTCGCGTTGAATGCAAACAAAAATGATTTACGAGCGTTTCATCATTGCTCTCATCCTGTTGAGTGATTTAATCGTTTAAATCAATTCCGCTGCGTAAAACGTTGCGTATATACCAAGACCCGTGCAAGAAGCTATCGTGCTCATTAAACAGGATATCGTCATAAATATCACTTACTACATGTGGTTCGTTAGCAACCGTATGTAATATCGCGTGAACCTAAATTGAAGGGTGTAGGATGAGATAATTAAATGGCACGAATAGAATATCGGTAGAAAAATTATTTCGCGCAAAATTATATCCATTAAGATATTAATTACTTTGGCATAATTAAACGAAATATAACATACACATGAATTATTATATTAATACTTTTCCCGACTACGATCATTTAAATCTAAAGTTAATTTAATTAATGTCACTTTTTGAAAGAGATTTGAATAGCGTACGTTGAATAAACACAAAAATTAAATAAGTATTACATTGACGTTACCAAAAAAAAATCTCATTCTGAAACAGAGCAAATAGAGAGATGTTTATACAATACACCCCGAGGCATCTCCCTAATTGCATTCTATCGCGATTGTTAGATGATGATTCGATCGAAGTGATGAGAATTAAAAAGAAGAAATGGTGCCCAATTATTGCCACTCGAAAAGCTTGCGCTGGTTTTGGCTGAATTTACGTTCTAAAACTTTTAATGATTTACTAAGGGCTTATTCGCGAGAGGCTCACAAGTTTCGACGCAAATTTGATCGTTTCGTTGAATCGGCTTCGATCATAATTTTCAAAAATACTCTACCCGGGTTACAATAGAACAGTTAAAAGAGGCCACTGATTTTCAGAATTTTACAAAAAAAACTTCCATCAAAATATGAAACGTTAATAAAGAAAAAAAAAGATTCACTTATAAATCCTGATAATTTAAACACGTCGTTATAAGGTAAACATTTGTTCGACGGTGAGCTAGCAGTACGTGTAAAGTAGTGTGCATCGTCACACAACTCGCCGAATTTAAATACTGTTTCCGCGCTGGGACGTAAATTTTTAATGCTGTCTATAAATTTAGCCGCCAGCACAAGTAAAACTCGTTCAGCGAGCAAAACCGTCGTGTCCTCGTCTCTTCGAGAGAAGAACTTTCGCGAGATTTCGCTAATATTTCAGCCAAGAATTTTATATCGCCGCGACACACTTTGTGCACTTTTGATATTTTATTACCCGGCCCCGTAGAATTACAACGAGAATGTTTACAGTCCTCGCGCTCGCGCGTTCTATTAATATTTATTTGTCCATTGTGCGGCGGCACCAATGCTCTTGTGCATACTGTAGACGCTGGTACTGATTGCGGAGTTGCTTCAGCGCGTATAAAAGCTTTTCTTTGTGCAAGATAGACTACGCATTTCTGTACTGCGGCGGCAATTTTCTCTGCGACTGGGTTAATTCTGCGATTTAAATGTGGAACAACAAGTTGGTGTACTTGCTAAATGATGTAAAAATCTTTCCCCCCTCAACTCGCATCCTCGTCAAAATCGGTGCTTTTAAAAATTTGAAAGCCCCGTTTTCTCAAAGTAGCATTTCTGGCTCCAGCTATTATTACACTCCGATCTTCAATCTTAAAAAGAAACACGATTTCATCTTCAAACTTCCAAGACGAGATACTCGCTCGAATTCGTTCTCTCGTAAGAGGTAAGCATGCGGACGAGTAGAATAGTGATTGAAAAGATGATCGTACTGCAGGAGCAAATTTTCCGGCGAGGATACTCCGCGATTCTATCAAGTTTCGTGCTGAATTTTTCATGGTGCCTGCATTTACTCCAAGTAGCAAAGTTCTACGTGAGAAAGATATAAATGACCCGACTCGGTAAAAAGCTGCTCCTGCTTACGCGTTCAATGGACGTTACTTGGACCGAGTGGACCGGTTCTCCTATCTCTCTTATTAAACTGTGCTTAAAGCGTAGGAAAATTCTTCCAATTATTCCATTTGCGACTAATAGCCACGCTTACGAATAATAATGAGGCTATCGATAGCGTAACGATCGCTTTTTTTATTACAAAATGCACGCGCGTGGAAATAATAATGAAAAAGAAACAATGCCGTGATAAATAATTGACGCAAAAGTGTCGAACGCGTTGAAATTCTTCCCACGACACGTCTTTGTAAGACGTTGATCTAATCAGTTTATCTCAGTTTGCGCAGGTGCAATCTAATTTGTTAGCAGCCACACTAAAGCGCAAAGTTATCCACTCGATTTGGGGCTTCCGCCCGGTAGGTAAAATTCAATTCGTTAAAAATTCGATTGAAGTACGTTACGCGAAGTTTCTGACTGAGCCGGTCCACTCGAAACATAGTTGCGTAGCGCAAAGTTGTTACGGGCCGAGAATCACCCCCCGTACCTAACACGGCAAGTGAGCCAACTATCTCGAGGCAACTATGCGCGTTACCAATCGCTCCTGGCACGACAAACGACATTCTAGAGAGGATTTCGTCGAGTTTGTCATATTCCACGGAGGGACACTGACGTCGTTATTCACCCGCCCGTTATTCACCCCCGTCTTTACTCGCTTTTGCGCCTTTGCAACGGGATACACTGCTGTAGCACTTGCGCCGGTTATTTGAGCCCCCTGCACCCATTGTCCCGCCCCGAGAATACCTGGAATCGGGGGATTTCTAGCAAATCGCGAAATCCGATTGCGAACGTAAAAGTATCTCGCGCGACGAGAGAATCATCCGCTGCGAACCAAAAGTTTATTTATGACAAACGAGCGCGTCTCAAAAGAATGCGTTCTGCCTCCTATTTTCATATTAAGATTAAAATTGATGTTAACAGTTGAAATGGAAAAAGATTCGTAGGGGCAATGTGAGCCTGAACGAAGGTGGCAAATTATGTAGGGTAAAGGCAGGCATTATGGCCAGGCGGGTAATATGGCCACAACGCCCGTATTAAATATTCTAAACATTGATAAACATCAATAATGTATAAAAACCAATTATTGTAGCTATTCTTGAAGTTTGGTAACAAAAATCTCTCTATTTTGTTGTTATTTGTGGTTTGGTGCTTCATTGTTCTCCATAACCATCAAGATATACACGTTAAAGTGAGATATGGCATTTCCAACTAATTGTAAGTAAGATTTTCAAATTAAAACAAAATAATTTTGGCTTTTCTCATTACACATTTTAAAACCTAAACCTTGGCTATATTTTTATAATAAATTTATCGTGCTTTGCCCATTATTTTAATAATTATAATGCACATTATTAAATGTATGCTCGGCGGCTAATATGGCCAGCGACAAAGGTAGCTACTATGGCCAGCGAGTACAACAGAGTATAGAGTACGCCAGTGCTGAGAGTGATAACAGCGAAGAAAGAAAATA